CAGCTGCAGGTCGTGTTCGGCAGCGAGTGCGCAAGCGTATGTCCCTACCTCCCCCTCCTGTTGCACGTATGCACTTGCGCTCACCTTGCGCGTGTGCGTGGCTGTGCGCGTGCATGGGTGTGTTGCAATCGCGATTGCCGACAGGTGTGGCGCGATCTGGGCGTGGTTCGCCTGTTCGTCGATGCCCACTTTTTCGAGGAGAACGCCGCCGAGGCCATGGGCGTTGATCGCGAACAGCCCATCACCGTCATCATCTCGTTCGGCGAGGGCTACCTCGAAAACGACACGGTACTTGAATTGAACCAGCCCACTGGCACCACTGACAGTACTAACCAATGCCGCTCGCGGTGTAACTATACGACCGACCACAGGTGCCCAAGGTGGAGGTGAAGCAGTTGAAGAACCCCCGCTTCGCTCTCGAGTTTCAGCTCACCCAGATTGCTCAGAAGTTCATGAAGGTAGTTAGTGCTCCCCCCCCCCAAAGCAAAAACCGCAATGGCACGCCGCGCCCGTACACTGACTCACCATGCGGCGCTTGCAGGAGAGTTGGCCGAAGCGTAAGATGGGCGTCTCCCTGCCGTCGACCACCGAGAAGAAGGAGGTGGCCAAGGTGCGTTTCGAAGCAATCAACCAACCAATCTTCTCGGCGGAAGCCCCAAGCCTTATTAAAGACTTTTTGCGTCGAAACCACAGATGAAGCTCCGCACGAACGATGTCGGCAACCTGGTGAAGCAGGGATTCGATCAGCTCGCTGCTGCCAATGCCCTGGAAATCACCGACAACGACTTTGTACGCACGCGCGCTCCACTCCAGCGCACACGAATGCCGTGTACTGACCCATGGGTGTGCACTCGCACTATGTACGACTACGCAGGCCAAGGCCATCAAGCTCCTCAACTCGCAGGGCGGGCACGTCGACATTGCCGAGCTCAGCTCGTCCGAAGGTACGCTTGACACCAACCAGCGGCGTGAGCCAAGTCGTCTGACTGACTGACCGGTTTGTCGTGAATGGCTGCGCCGCAGAGGCGAAGCACAACTTCCTGGGTTGGGTGATGACCTACATGCTCGGTCGTATGCGCAACTGTACCTCGTACTGCTTGATCTGCGACGTGAAGCTCGAGGGTACCACCTTTTCCCTATCCCTGTCCGGCGATGCATCGCCAGGGATCTGGTCTCACGCTCGTGCGTGCCCCTCCCCTCCGGGCAGGCAGCGGTGTCAAGCCCGTCGTGTGTTCCAACGAGCAGTGCGTGTGGCGCTACGAGGAACTGGGTCTCGGCGTCAAGGTCACCAACGAGCTCATGCTCGACGAAGACGTCGTTGACCTGCTCATGTCCATGCTCTTTTCCGCTTGGTATCCAGCTCTCCGATTTTATTAGTGATATTTATTATTATTATTGTTTTTAACTC